CCAACCAAAACAAATAACTGATCTAGGTAATAAACTAACCCCAAATAATAACAGCTCTATCCGTTCCTCTATATTATGAGAGAGTGTCCCTTCCCCCCTACCCCCTTTTACCCCGCCCAATCAACATCTTGATCCCGATACAAATCATCTGCTACGTCGAAAAGACTGTGACAATGACAATCTAATTCATCTCTCAGTGAGAAACATAGTCGAACCTGCCCTCACGGCCACCTGTATAGGTGCCCACAACGGATGGGATCGGTCGATCGGCCCGATCGCCAGACTCGATCGCCTCAAAACCAAACGTGTTTGTTTTCAGTTTCAGGCGATCCAGTCGGGCAATCGGCCCGATCCAGCTGCTGTAGTGGGCACCCCGTTCAGGCGATCCAGTCGGGCGATCGGCCCGATCCAGCCGTAGTGGGCACCTCGTATAAGGCAATCACCTGTACAAACGACGACTTCCAATTTCCTCTCTTGTGTGTTTGTTCACATAACAATAACGTTGTCCCCTGTCTAACAGGGCAACTTTTCTCTTTGACAATGGAAGCCCGTCTTAGACAGTTTCGACTGTTAATGGTCTGTCCTGGTCGTTTTTAACGGCAGTTGTGTTGCAAGTAAACCCCTACAACACAGACCTAGATCTATAACAATAATAGTATCATCGCCCACTAAAGTAAGCTTCACGAAAAGCCCCCATCGTCTTAAGTATCCTGATAACACGAAGTAGGACCACAACAACAATATGATAACAGTGCAAACGACTGTTCTTGGTATTTCAGCTGATCGCGCTTTAACGTCCACGTGGGGCTTTCGTGGCCTAGAGGTTAAGGTGTTCGCCTCTAATTCAATAAGTCCGGGTTCGAATCCGGATAGCGACGGAAAATGTTCTTCTCTAAATTTGTCTCCTACGAAACCCTTTCCTGTTCTCTAACAATGTTTTGTTGTCTGCTCTCGTCTCTACTTTCTACCCTACCCCCTCATCTCCTTTGCCCCCTCCTCTGGGCTCCCGACTCTGCAGCCTTTCTACTGCTACTCTTTTGCTCCATTCTTACTGTGCTGCCTTTCAGTCACACCCCTGATCTTCTGGTAGAAAAGATCTAGACCTAGCCTTCTTGGACAAGGGTGAAAAATCTCGGAGCAGGTCCCTTGTTCAAGTTGCGTACGTTAAAGATCCCTTGGAGGTCCAAAATCGATAAGAGTAGGCTTCGACCACTACCCGGGCAAAATTTTAAAAATTCCTACCAACTGAAAATGTTTAATGTGTCCAGCGAGCTCATACGACCAATGCAGTTGCGAGCGCCGTAGAACACCCCCCCCCCCCCCCCCCAAAAAAAAAAAGGCCACATGACAATCTCCTGTACAAACGACCACTTCCCATTTCCTCCCTGGCGTGCTCCCCCCCCCCCCCCCCCTCCCTCATAATAATGACTCTGTGTAAGACGTCACTTGTGTAAAACGGCCACTGGTCTCTTCGACAATGATTTGTGACCGCCTCAGACATGTTCGACCGTATTTACACATTTTTATGGGAGCTTAAAGTTTTCGCACAGCTTTTGACAAAAACACTTTGGGTTTGAGGACCACTTTAATAATGATAAGCCAGCACTTCTTAAGCTGCCACTTACGAGTAATATTCGTATTATTCTTCCAGGTATCTTTTTCTCTCCCCCCCCCCTCCTCTTTCGACCTATCTATCTATCTATCTATCTATCTATCTATCTATCTATCTATCTATCTATCTATCTATCTATCTATCTATCTATCTATCTATCTATCTATCTATCTATCTATCTATCTTTCTATCTCCGTCCGCGTCTGTCTGTCTGTTTGTCTGTCTGTTTGTTTGTCTGTCTTTCTCTCTCTCTCACTCTCTCTCTCTCTCTCTCTCTCTCTCTCTCTCTCTCTCTCTCTCTCTCTCTCTCTCTCTCTCTCTCTCTCTCTCTCTCTTCTCTCTGCAGTTTTCTTTTTCTCTTTATTAAAATGTAAAAGTATTCAACAGTAAGCTACTTTGGACTTCATACAGGTAAAGTAGCACTTTGCACTCAAACAAAAGTGACAAATAAATAATACTGTTGAGTATCATTATAAATTAAATATCGATACATCCCCCTCCCACCATACCCACATACACGCACGTGCGCGCATACATACACACACACACACACACACACACACACACACACACACACACACACACACACACACACACACACACACACACACGCACACACACACGTGTTTTGTTTAAGTTTTTGTTTTTGCCCTCAACACTTACTGTTTTGGTGATACTGAGTTTGTTCAGAGGGATAGGGCTCCTGGCAGCCAGGTTGGTGATATAAAACCAGTAGCCTGGGAGAGCGAGCCACAAGAGGCCACAGGGGCCCCACACTAAGGCTGTGGTCATGAAACATTCCGTGAACTGAGGGTATGACCCGTCCATTAGGAGACTCTCGTTCTGGGGACAGACATCAAGCAATAAAACTATTGTTGATCTAAGTGGGAGAACATACAAGGTGCCTAAAAAAAGAGGACCCACTTGAAGAGTAATAACTCAATAATCTCTACACTAATTTCAACAAAAATTCTAACAAATAAAACTCAACCACGAGGACGTCAGTTTTGTAAAAATAGGAAGAAAATCAATCACTGTTTTCGGGAAAATAATATCAACTTTTAACAATTTCAACCAGAATTGGGTAAAACGCAAAATTTTGCTTCTCGTAAGCGTTCAGCTACAGGGGCGTGATCGGCTCGTTCTGGTTTCAGGACAAGAACGGTAAAACCACAACAGTCATCTCAGATAGATTTCTAAACATGCCAAGAAAGTTTGGGCGAACTTTTGGGGAGAATTTGAAACGTTGCAAAGGCCTGGTTCCAATTGGATGGGGCCACAACCCACACATCAAGAGCGGCCCTGATATGGTTGCTCGAAAGGTTTGGGGAATGCCTTGTAAGCCGAACATTTACAAATTTACAAATGAATGGTTGCTACCCCCCCCCCCCCCCCAATTGAGTCCCTTCAGTTATTACCTTTGGGGGTTTGGACAGACAGAGTCTAGAGAAACAACCCACTAACAATCGAACAATTGAAATTCAACGTTGAACAGAACGTCCAAAGAATCGACTCAGAAACACGCCACAGAGTTATATTCAACATTTCAGTGGCGCACTGGAGCTTGAATGGAAAGAATTATCTACTCCTGGAGATTTGAATAGCAGACACCTTCTTTTGGGTTTATTTAATAATATCAATTCTGTATTAATCTGTTCTTCAATGCATAAAAAATGACTATTTGAAGTAGAGCAAGGGTTGATATTTAAGAGGTTGCAAAGTTTTGCGTTTCAGTCCACTGTGGTTCAAATGTTAACAATTTGATATTTTTCGAAGAAATGTATTGATTTTGTTCATATTGACGAATATAACGTACCTACAGTTGAATTTTATTCCTGCGAAGTTTTATTTAAATTAGTTTTGATTCAGAGATTACCGAGTTATTGTCACTTAAGTGGGGTCCTCTTTCTTTGTTAGACCCAACCCGGTTTTTATAGTCTAAGCTGGGGGCGTGGATGTGTTGTTGTTGGTGTAATAGCAGAGGCAGTAGCAGTAGCAGAAATAGTAGTAGTAGAGGTAGTAGTAGTAGTAGTAGTAGTAGCAGCAGCAGCAGTAGTAGTAGTAGTAGTAGTAGTAGTAGTAGTAGTAGTAGTAGTAGTAGTAGTTGTTGTAGTAGTAATAGTAGTAGTAGTAGTAGTAGAAGTAGTGTTGATGTTGCTGTTGCTGTAGCAGTGGTGGAGGTGTTTATTGTATTTGTTGCTGTTGTCGACGACGATATACAATTATGTTGTTGCTGAAACAATTGTCGTTTTTGTTGCTGTTGATGTTGTGTTGTGGTTGTTGTTGTTCTTGTTGTTGTTGTTTCTGTCGGTGATGTTGTTATAAATGATTATGAGATTATGACGTTTTTCACTGAACTGGACACCAGGGTGAAAGCTTGGTCCTCTTCCAGGTTCTGGTCAAAAAGGGGAAATATTCAGGGAACGAAAACAAACAAAACAAACAGGCAAGCAAACAATTGTACAAACAATTTATAGCCAGCAGGTCGTATTGGTACTCAACCCTACATAATTTTCCTCACAGTTGTAACTGACCATACTGTTTTCATTTTCATGTAGAACCTGCACCATTGGGGGTATCTGTCTGTCTGACCGTCTGTCTGTCTGTCTGTCTGTCTGTCTGTCTGTCTGTCTGTCTGTCTGTCTGTCTGTCTGTTCTTTTTCTTTTCGTCTTCTTCTTCTTCCTCGTTCTGTCTGTCTGTCTGTCTGTCTGTCTGTCTGTCTGTCTGTCTGTCTGCAACAAGAAGGAAAACTGAACTACGGTAGAAAAGAAACACTATCAATTCCAGACAGCTGTACATGTACTTACCCAGAACGGAGATCCCCCGCAGAACTCATCATTGTCTGTCGCCATCGCGGCGCCAGTCCGTGGGTAGAGTTTTCGAGAACTTCTCCAGTGCTGGGTTGAAAGGTTTAGTTTTATTAACAGTGAGTTTCACAGCATTTGCAACACAATCATGCCATGTAATTGCCGAATATTAGAGGTATTACCTGAGAGTAATATGTAAAGAAAAAAAGAAGGAGAGGGAAGGGCGATACATATTTGATAGGAAAAAAGGAGCAAACCACATATGCACACCAGCCAACCACCATGTGGCCATGTGAATGATTCACCAAGGATGCAATAAGTAACTGTTATTCTGAGGAGGGGGGGGGGGGTAGAAAGTCGAAAGAGAAAGCTTTGTAAAGTCGTGAAAAATTATTGGAAAAAGCTTCAAGACAGTCACCATTCAAAAATGCATATTTAAAAATAGAATGTTTATGCACTATGGTCTCTTGTGACGAAGGTCCAACAAAGAAACAAGAAAGCGTCTTATAATAGTAATAGTTGTAAAGACAATTTAAACAACTAAAAATAAAAATAATTTTTGGCAAAGCAAAGAAATGATTTGCAAGTTTTTATTAGTATTGATATTCTCAGTATCCACCAACAGATAGGAAAATTAATGGACGCTGTTCAAGAATTGATGGGGAAAAAATGGCAAACGTATATTGTGTGACATGGCCAAGGTCCTTAAAGAACTCGCAACTCCTTGGTTATCTTCAGTGACCTTAGTAATTCCTTTAAAAAGCGTAGGCTTATCGACATGGTTAGGTTACGAAAATTTTTAACGCAGGGTCTACAAATTTAACGTCCGTTTCCAGAAGGGTCAAGCCAAGTAGGGTGAGAGCTTTGACCCCCCCCACACACAACAACGAAACAACAACAAAACAACAACAAAACAATTCAAATAAAACACCTCGTTGAGAAATCGATCCAAGGTCATAATACCAACTAATGACACACCCTTCAATAATTCTGACTGACAGGTTTGACATTAAACAAATCTACATCTGCATAATAATTGTGCAATATCCCCATACCGTCATAGCGCTGTCATTATAGCTAAAGTCAGCCTTGGGCCATAACGAAATGTAACCCTTTTGCAATTTCCCTCTTCAGGATGCATCATTTAACATCAACATTTTTTCGAAAGTTCCGGGCCGTTATCCTACAGTTAGACATTTTCATTTTGTAATGGAAAAAAGTGTGTATCACAAAACAACAGATCGAATTTTTTCGATTCTCTTAAAAGTTTTTTTTTAAGGTTATATAGATCTAAGCAAAACCATGAGAATACTATTTATTCGTCAGCCATCACAAGCAAGTCCACACGTCTGTGTCCTTAACCCTTTATTTCCAAAGAAAACGTGAGGAAATTGGTGAAATGGAAAGGCGATTCACTAAGAGATCGATACAATTCTGGCGTCGGTGGCCTAGTGGTTAGGCTACCGGACTCGTATTCGTGAGGTTGTGGGTTCGGGGTTTCGAGCCGCGGGCTCGACGTTGCCTCCGTAGGAAAACTCGAATTTCCCCTATTCACCCCGGTGGGAATGGGTACCCGGCCATAGACAGCGAAAGATCTTGTCAGTATGTTAGTGTTTTAGCGCCTGTAAATGGCTTCTTGCACTGTATGCTTCACAGGAAGCTGAGGTTGTTTCAGAAGGCTATAAGGTCTTCTGGGGTAATAGTATAGATTGTGAAGCGCATAGAGCTTGCTGTTGAGCGGGGATTTGCGCTATACAAATGCTATCTATTATTATTATTATTATTATTATTATTATTATTATTATTATTATTATTATTATTATTAAAGTCAGTTCCAAAGAAGAGAAAGAAAAAAACGTGGAGCAATTTTAAGTCTCAACAAGTTTGTAAGCTGTGTAGTTGACTAAGTTATGCATTTAGTCAAATGTTTTAATGCATACCACAAACAAGAGAGACACTACCACGAAAACATACTAACATACAGTAATATCGATTTGAAAATATTTGAAGTTTCTTACAGGACTTTTTTTGAAAATCCTATTTCATCACAATCTTTCAACGAATAAGAAAAAAAAGGAAAATGCTTACATTCCTTACAAAAGACTCCTTTAACAAATATAATTCCTAGATACAAGAGACTACTAGAGGCTATGTTCTATTATAATTTGTCTTAACCACAATACTCACAAGGTAATCGTCAGGCTGGCAAAGGTACTGATAAAGCTGTTTCCTCAACGCCGCCCGCTTTGTAATGATGTAGAATCTGAGGTGGAATCCTTTATCAGTCAACGTTTGTACCACTGGGAGATGCCTTGACCACTATTAATAATTGTGTCCCCGTTTCTTTAACACGATTTGAACCCCTGCCTCCCCCCCCCCCCTTCCCCCGCCCTTCCTTCTATTAAGTAAGGAAAAGAGTCCCAGATTGTCACCAGCTGTAGGTAGATTCTATCATGAAATGGTTGAATGTGGCGATCCCATATCGCTCAAAAAGCTCAAGAACCACTCAACAGAGATAACAATGACAAAGGAGTTGATGACGTCACTGTGGTGTCGTTTGACTAGCGTCTGAACTTGTTATTCCAAGCCTTCCTGTCAGTTCTTGTAT